TTTTCAGACTCACAGTTTTGAACGACAGAACACGAGCAAAGCAATCGCCAAAAATCCAGTTACCGTAAATAAATAAAATTTTTTGCTAAATTATTTTAAAATTATTATAAAGAGAATGGTTCGTAAGACGCAGATTTGTCTATGAATAAATAAATAAATAAACAAATAAAGAAAGAAAGAAAGAAAGAAAGAAAGAAAGAAAGAAACGTCTCCTGCCAATACCTCATAAATAATGAACTATTCAGTTTTGATTACGTCGGAAAACAAGACATAAAATAAAGAAAGAAAAGAAAAAGAAAGAAAGAAAGAAAGAAAAGTTTGTTACGATGCAGGGGGTTCACTGAAGAGAAAGGCCAATAAAAAAAGAGTAGGATTCAAAGAGGCATGACGACTAAAAAGGATAGGGGTATATATGAAAAGAAAGAAAGAAAGAAAGAAAGAAAGAAAGAAAGAAACGTCCCCTGCCAATACCTCGTAAACAAGGAACTATTCAGTTTTTATTACGTCGGAAAACAAGACATATAAAAGAAAGAAAGAAAGAAAGACAGACAGACAGACAGAAAGACAGGTATATATAAGTGATTCAGTGTAATAGAAAAGTTATCAATTCCAAATCTTTCATTTGTACTCACTTCTTAAAATAACGAACAGCATTCATATTTATGATTGCCATTGCAATATTTTGTTAAAGTTGGTAAGATAATAATTAACGATGTGATAGGGGGATTTCTATGGACATCTGTACTGATTTGGGGTCTCGACTCCAGTCACTTTCTCACCGACGTAGTTATAGGTTCCCTCTCGCTTTTCTATACATATTTTCATGGCATCTACTCCGACGAGCTATTTACACCAATGCCCCAACTGCATGAATTGAATCGTCCTACTAGGTTGACATCTCAGAGTTCCCCCCCCCCTGGTTAATACGGCAGACCTTAGTTAAAGTTTCTGGGAGAGAAGCGTGATATCTAGTGTGATGAACAAGCTGAACAGTGTCGCACTTACCGTCTTCTGTCAAGACGTTTCCCAGATATTTAAATGCTCGATTCTAGTGTTCTGTATGGCGTGTACCTTCAGGGCGTAGGTGATGATAGCTCTTCATAATTTCCTATCCTTTGTAGCTTTTAATAAATACTCTCCTTGGTTATCCCTCTTAAACCCTCTTCCGCCATTCACCAGCTCGATAGACACATTTTGCGTTGTTTTCCTTTCTCCATCTCGCCATCAATTTATACTGTGAGTATCAAATTTTACAAACCCCCTTTCTTCATTATTTGGCCTAGAAATTTAAACTGTCTTTTTCTGATGTTAAATATATGTTATACCGGAACATACCTATTCTCTTGTTAATAGACTCTCCCACATATAATAAGTAGTAGTAGTAGCAGTCGCTAGGGAGCTCAGTGAGTTGGTGGATGTCGGACATTAATGTATCAACCACCACAACTAGATTGCTGCGTCATTAACTATTATTTCAAGTTCCTAACGTTTTGTACGTGGACCGACTGTGAAAACTACTCTACAACAATATAAGTGTCCTTTTTGTTTCCATTTTCTTTTAAACTTCGTTGATGCTCAGATTTCCTGACGCCTGGTTGTGCAGAATATAGATTGCAGACCGTTTGCTAATTGTCGTTAAAATACAACAAACTTTATTTTCTATTTTTTATTAAATGTCCTTTAAAAAAAATGCTATCTTTTGGTTACCTGTTGCAAAAAAATATTAATCCCCATTTATGTGGAACATGGAGAACAACAACGTGAAGTATAGACGTTTAATAGCAAACCCTAGTACCCATGAAACCAAATTTCTATAGTACGATATATTCACTACTATGGCGACACAGGGATCTATAGTCTATTTTGGTTTGTTGAGCAGTATATCAACTCCTTATGGATCTTTTAATGCCAAATTTAATTTTCTCAAAAAACGTATTGCTGGTAACTTTTCTCTTCATTTTCCAATATCGTATTGCTGGTAGATTTTATTTACTATGCAAATTTATTGATGGTATTATTACTACAAAAAATGTATTTTGTATACTTTTCATAATGCTTGGAGGTTGACTATTTGCCTATACCTGGGAACCTAGAACGTGCTACCCTTCCCCCCCCCCCGGGTCATGGTGGACCTGGGAACAACCTTCAGATTGCATTTCGGGCTCATCGTCTTATTGACGACCATGCGCTCTGTCTTCCAGACACACAGTAAAAAAATACGAAATCACACTCGAGAAACAAAATGCGTATCGCATTCACTAGAGAATGAAATTTATGTCACCTAACGGGGTCAGGATGATTGTCTTCATTTGATTTTTATTCCTTATCGACATTCTGAATATTATTTAACACCAGAAAATATCTTTAGATTGTAAGAATATTTTGTGGTAGTTAATTATTATTTACTGATACAAGTTTTACTTATTAACCTATAGTAGGGGGGAAATGGTGGATTTATACCATTTGCAATTGATTAGCGCATAAGTGAATATAACGAACCCAACTGTTATTGGAAATCAGATCTTCAATTAATAATATCGATATTATCCATTCCACCACCCGAACACCCAAAGGTTACATCACCTGGTATTCCCAAGCAGTCACCCATTTTGGTACTGAACAGGTTCATAGTTACTTAACTTCAGTAACCTATCTACGTCATAGATTGACGATGAGCGACCTTCATCCTCTCCTCCATTCAGTCGTCTATTGATTGTGATTTTTCCTATTGATCCTATAATAGTGACCATAGATTCACTGCTGTGTCAAAGACAACCGCCATTGTCTCAGACGTCTGCGATTTCGATATTTCTTATCGACCTCATTAGTTATCTTGTTCCTCAGCCGAAGATAAAAAAAAACAAAACAAAACAAACATCCAGTTAAGTAATAATAAGAAAAGATATCTTGTTAGCTGTTCTTACCGGTTTTCAACTGCAATCGTGAACTACTAACGTAGTTCTCCAACAAACAAAACAATATTCAGTAGATATATTTTCTTTTAAAGTCGTGCGGAGCTATTTCACCCATGTCCTGAAGTGAAACAGGACATGATAGAAGAAGAAGAAGAAGAAGAAGAAGAAGAAGAAGAAGAAAGGAGAACGCCTCTCTGCGCCTGCTTCGTCTCACACTGTCCACTGTCCTGAGATGGAACAAATACATTAAATCAATAGCTTCATCTACCGCGTGGAAAGTTGGTTCTCTGTGTCGAGCCAGAAACGTTTTCTTGCCTTTCATCCATCAGATCTATAAATCAACCATTTCCGCTGCATGGAATACTGCTGCCATACATAGTCTATAGCCCCCACTGTTCGACTCAAGGTCCTCAACAAAATCCAGAGACGGATATGCAATGTGATTGGTCCTGATCTGGCATCTCGTTTACCGTCACTTCCTCAGAGACGTGCCGTCGCTTGCCTCTGTCTTTTCTACAAATACTTTCACGGTAACTGCTCCGAAGAACTACTTTCAATAATTCCCAAACTGCATGAATTTAAGCGCGTTACTAGATTGGCATTTCAGTCCCACCCTTTCACTGTCGAAACGGTTAAATGCAGCCGTCTCTTCTACTCCAACAGCTTCATGTCTCGCACTTCCCGTCTGTGGAACTCCCTTCCTCTTACTTGCTTCCCTGATAGCTACAATCTTCAAATATTCAAATGCAATGTCAATCAACATCTTCAGTTGCCTTAATCTAATTCCCCGTTCTTCTTTTCATCCTTTCCTCTATCATGCCTCTTTACTCTTGCTCCCAATCTCTGTAACCCTTGCGTGCTTGTGGCACTCCCGCCTTGACTGAGGAGGAATTCTTTAAAAAAAGAAAAAAAAAACAAAGAAGATGCCCGCAATTTTCCAACATAGAAGAATTTAATGGACGATAGGTTTTTTACATGAAACATTTCTGTCATTTTAAATTATTTAATAGCAATTATTTTTCTTTCTGTTTCAATATATGGAATGAGGAGTTTTTATTATTTACACTGTTTATATGCGGCCTATTGTCCTCATCTTTGTTGTTGTTATCACGACCTTTCGGCCCTTGTGGTATTCGGACTTCATCAGGTGTATTTGGATGCGGTTAACCTAAACGGAATTTCAAACTGAACCCATTAATCTCCAGCTATAAATTTTTCTCGTTCTACTGTTCATGTCTAGCGATATCTTATATAGTAATTATGTTAGTTCAATTATTGCTCGCTCTGTTTCCATTGAGATCAACTACAGGGCCTGGCCCAGGGACTGAACTCACAATTATTAGGTTAGTTTTAAGTCTACATGTTCTCCCTGTAGAATGGTATCACTGTAGAGAGGGTTAGTTGATTACAACGTTGATTCATATAGGTGAAATAGTTCTTGAAAACTTTTATATTGTTCTCGCTCCTAAATAATATTTGTTTTCTAATTCGTTCTCGCCCAGTTACATCTTGTGTCTTATTGGTTTTACTGCCTTTGAGTTAAATACGATTTTTTTTAAAAAGAAATCTATTCCCGGAAGCGTTGTCTATATGCTTTTTCTCTAACTTGGTATAGTCCTGTTTTAATTCTGGATAATCCTTTTCGCCAAAATTTTATAATTTTGATCTCATCCTTGTCGCCAAAATTTTGTAATCTAGGGAAGGTTAAAGAATAAAATAATCACAAGTAGGCTGGTAATGAACGATAATACTTAGGACAAGAACAACACATATAAGATTCGCCAGCGGCGCGTAGAAAAAGTAGTGAACTTCTAGAAGTGAGTCGTGAATTCCACAATGAATCTACAACTGCAGGATATCTAACAACCGCCCCACGTGGTCAGATGTGGTACAAGGCCGAAATTCCCCGTAAATCCCGTATAAAACGGGGTTTCCCGAGATGAGACTCTGCCCTTCGACATATTCACGTCTGCGGATCCTCTCTCCCCGGAGGCAGAGAGTTTGACAAACACAACTGGAGACGAATCTTCAACTGCAGGATATCTACCAACCGCTCCACGCGGTCAGATGTGACACAAAGCCGAATTTAATGTGTGGTGTCCCAGCCCGTAGGCTCAGCCAAAAATTACCCTTAAACCCCGTATAAAACGGGATCGGGTAGCTGTTTCCCGAGACGAGACTCTGCCCTTCGACATAGATTCGTCTGGGGATCCTCTCTGCCCGGAGGCAGAGAGATTGAACAGCACAGCTAGAGACGAATCTCCAACTGCAGACCAACATACAGTATTTACTATTGTATTTATGTGAATGGGGACATACCCATTATCGCCTCTAGGTATGCTATTATCAGTTACCACATAGAACCGTTCGATGTAAGACTTTATATTCTCGTTATTATTCATGTCTGCGGAAGAATATCTGTGCTTCGAGAAAGTAATTTGAAGAAAATATTTTCACCGAATATATATTTACAAATTTTCATAGTTTTCTTTTCTTTATTGTTTGTATTGTAATCTTGCCCGGAACATATATACCATTTTTTCTTT